TACTTCAAAAATATGGTAGGGTATCGGAAGCCATGTTCCATATCATGACCGAGCTAAATATAGGGGCCCAGCCCAACATTGGGGGGCTAAGCCCAGCATTTGGGGGTAGCTCAGCATTGGGGGACATGACCCGCCGGAGATACAAAGTTCCACCCCTCGACTTGTAACCAAACAAATTTAGAAAACCACCGTAACCGCGCATGCAAAAACAAGTAAACTTCTTTAAATCACGGATCAATATGCAAACACACCACGAAAAAGACCCAAAACACAGTATTTGGTTCAGCGAACACTTTCAGTACTCTGCTGCCATCTCTCGGCGAGTTGGAAGTACTTTAAGTGAGCGCAAAGCCCGCAACTTCGCACGGCTATTTTGGCAGCACCTCAACGGCGTACAAATGACACAATCAATGACGTGTTGAGGAACACGTGTTGCACACATATGTTTATGAAATAAAGAAATTGCATTGCGCGGAGCAGTTTTTCCTACTCAAGGGTATACCAATAGTTGTAGGTGAGCTTATTTTATCATATCTGATGCCTACTGCAATACAATCAGCTGTGAAACATTCTCTTTAAAGCCAATCGACATAACTCGCTTTACTAGGAGCCGAGCTGCCACCCTTGTGTTTCCTTCATAAAGGATTGGATCTAATATTGAGATCTTGCACTGGCGACTAACGCGAAATTGTTCACTGGAAACATGTTTTACGTAGTTACGAGATCCAGATGAGCCTATGGTCAGAGTTCTGCCCAAGTCGTATGTTGGGTGCAACTTGTTGCAAGTTGTTAGTGAAACTGATGCATGTTTCACATTTGTACATGTATTATCTACGTATTTTTTGCCACTCGTGTTGCCTAAGTTGTTCAGTGCATTAGTGAGGAGCATTATTAACATAGATAAGACAGCAGTATTAGCCTTATTCCTCGGACAAAACCAGGAGAATGGAGATAAAGGTGGGTTTATATTTCGGCAACATGCTTTTATCGAAGCAATAGTAGAAGTGAATTCAAAATTGCCTGCCGATGATCCTACTCGACTTTTCAGTTTTTCAAAAAGTAAGCCACAGTTTGTACAGGACACCAACATTCAGGGGATTACTAAAGAGGGATCGCCTCCCATTACCACAGTACAGTGTCTATCTAAGAATTAGAATGCGCGAACATACATGTACCTGCAAACGAATTTAAACAGATAGGCATCACGCATCACGCTTCATTCAAACATGCGAGCGAGTTGAAGTGAACGGGCATCACATATCGGGCATCAATTATTTAATTATACATGCAAGCGATTTCAGTTGAACAGGCATCGCACATCACGCGTCAGGCATCACTTGCACATGCAAACGGTTTAAGCTAGCACACATAACACATGATGGCACATATCACGTTCGCATAATCGGCTATGATGAACCCTGTATGTTAGGATTTGGCCGCCGACTTTTTATAGGAACAGATTCACTGTTGTAAATGATTTGAAGATTGTCGTAATGGCTGGCAATTTAAACTAGTGAATCTATTCTCATAGAAAGTCAGCGATCAAACCTTAACACTACAGGCTCATCATGGCCGATCATGCGAACGTGATATGTGCCTTTATGTGTGGTGTGTGCTAGCTTGCAAGCGTTTACATGTGTAAGTGATACCTGACGCGTGATGTGCGATGCCTGCTCCATTAAGATCGCTCACGTATATAAATGACGCGCGATGTGGGATGCCTGTTTACTTCAAACTCGCTTGCGTGTTTTAATGAAGCGTGATGCGTGATACCTTTTTGCTTGAATTCGTTTGCATGTGCACGCATGCTCATGCATTCTAATTCTTAGATAGGCACTGTGTCGTGGTAATGGCTGACAATCGCTCTTTGTTTAATCCCTTGATGTTGGCATCCTGTAAAAACTGTGGCCTGCTTTAAAAAAAAGAACTGGAAGGTCGAGTAGGAACAGCGGCAGGCACTTTTGAATTCACTTCTGCTATTGCTTCGATTAAGGCATGTTGCCGAAATATCAGCACAACTATATCTCCATTCTCCTGGTTTTTGTCCGAGGAACAAGGCTAATCCTACTGTCTTACCTATGTCAATAGCATTGCCGGTGAAAATGAGCTTGCCTTCGCATATAACTGATCCACACCACGGATTCAACCCATGCGCCCCGACAGAAAAAACAACCTGCACGAAATGTACTGCGCCCATCATCGGGGTACTGACATGTTCATTATGGTTCTAAACAGAAGAGCAACCATTCCTCACTGCTTATAATATCGGTTCCGAAACATAGGCATTCCGCGGGTGACACGCGCTCGGGTAGGTGACGGTCAGTTTGACCCTCGAAGGTTTTTCCTGAATGGTTTTCGAGCGGTGCGGCGTAGCCGCGCCAAATTCTGCATAGGTGTAAAAAATTGAACAGCAGATCGTTTTGTATAAAAAACTGGATCTTCCTCGTAAGGTCGCTCACTAACGGCAAGTCAAAGTCAGTCGATGGATTTAGCGAAGACAGTCTCTAGGCATATGAAGTAGTTTCGGGTTCTGATTTATAATTTATTGGTAATAGGAACCGCATTATGCATCTCCAGTGGACTTCATAAAGGTCAGAATAGGTAACTGATTTAAAATGACCCAAGTCCACAACTTGTTTTTAAGAACATACTGCCTGGCCTGAGCTTTGACGCTTATTTAAGTGCAAAACTCATAGCAGTCTTGTCTTATTTTGGTACTAGGGCCTCCCAAAGGTCAAGCAATGTCACTGACCTTAAATGAGCATCAGTGACCTTTTGCTTAGAACAGGTATCTAGGTTCTGGGGGCACTTTGGATACACATCTGGAGTTTGACCTCATTTGACCTTCATCTCACCCGAAGGTAAAGGCTAGGAACCTCAAAGCTAGACACAAGTGAGTTCACGTACAGGCCAACATGCTATGTGAATTTGGTATTTCTAGCTTTCTTAGTTTCTGAGATTTGGGAGAGGGCGAGTTCACTCCCGCCCACCCGGGTGAATGGTAATTCAACCGGGCGCCCGAGCTTGTCCGTAAGGGAGTATGCCACCTTTTTGTACTTTTTACTTATTGTTAGGTTATACACGGACGATTTGATCAGTGACACCAGTTTTCTCGAAATCCTTCTGAATAGCTCAGAATTGACAAGCGCTCGGGTGGGGGACAAATTGACCCTCCCGAAGGTTTTCTGGAATGATGTTCGAACGGCGCGGCACAGCCGCGTCAAATTTTTCATGACTGTAGAAAATTGAACAGCGTATTATTTAGAATCAAAACTGTAGATGTACCTTGTAAGGTCCCTGACCTATGACAGGTCAAAGTTAGGCCATGGTTTCAACGAAGTCAATGTGTAGGAAATCGTTCAATCTGATGCAATAACGGAATGTTAGACGAGGCCATACATCTCTGAGATGTTTCTTAGGCGAAAAAATATTGAATGAGCAAATAGCGCTGACCTAAGGTCAGGTATGACGGTCAGACCAAGGTCAGAATAAATCTATTTTTTTTACTCCCGGGCTTGCTGTATGAGATAGTTTCTGGTGCTCATTTCGAATTTATTGATAGCAGGAACCGCATTATGCATCTCTCATGGACTTCTTAGTGGTCAGAATAGGTCGTTGACCTAAAATGACCAGGCCAACATCTTTTTTTTAGAAACATACTGCCTAGCGTAAACTTCGTCGCTTATTCAAATGCAGAACTTGGAACAGTCTTATATGATTTTGGTTACCATCACCTTCAAAAGGTCAAACAAGGTCACTGACCGTAAACGAGCATGTGACCTTTTGGTTAGAAACAGTTATTTAGGTCTGGGGGCACTTCGGAGGCCAGCCTGGAACTTAACCTTGTTTGACCTTATTTGACCCGAAGGTCATGACCCTAGGAACCTTAAACTTTGACCTAAGTGAGTTCACGTACAGGTCAACACACTCTGCACATTTAATGTGTCTATCTTTCTTGGTTCCCGAGATCTCAGGGAGGTCAAATTGACCCCCCACCCGAGCGAAGGGTATCTAGCCGGCCACCCGGGCGCGTGTTAAGATTTGAAGTAGCCGCTGCTGCGGGAGAAATCTGATTGGACTCCCTGCTCACCACTACAAAAGAAATACCTGTCACTTCCTTTGTTTTTTTTTCCACGTGTGTGTTCCGTTATGTTTGAAGCACACTAATTTGTCAAAATGTTCGTGTAACAAATGCTACGAAAGCTTGAAACACCCTGTTTAGACAAAAAGTGTTTGCGGATCTGAAGCTATGATTTCGCGAGTTCAACGAAACATCATGCTATGGCTTTGCTTTACGCGTCCACATTTACCACCGTGACTCTTTTTGAGGCGTACTTTTGCTGTGGAAATGGAAGTGTAAACTGGTGCAAACTGACGCACCGGCTCGAACTGCAACAAATTTGCTTCTCAGTAACAAACTCCGCTCGCCGGGCCAATCACGAATGTTCTTTCATTTGCACCAGAAGAGATGCCACGGCGGTCGGCATGACGACGCCGGCCGCGACCACAGCGAAAGAACGTAGTGATGTTAGAGAGTGTTGACAGCTTAATTTGGACTAGAAACTGACCGCGATCAATTCCTTATTATGTCTTTAACGGCGCTGCAGCGGCACTACCCAAAACACGAACTGGTCCTGGCGTTTTACTGGGGTATGTTTTTGAAATATACCCAGAATGTGGGACACTTCTTATCAAAGCTTTCAAACTGGTGGCAGTCAGAACAGAACGACAAAAATATAAAGCAGCGATCCCGGATGTGTTCATGCCGCTTGTCTTTGTCAAAAGCACTACAACAATTGCCAATGTGAGGAACAAAGCATTCGTCACCCCGTGTCATACTGGACACCACGTCACCGCCCGTCAATCGCCGCCGGGCAGGCACAGCTGACAGCAGGACCCCGGGCTGTCTGCATTATAGACCTTAATGTGAGCATGCCGCAAGCATATCTCATTGTGAACTATTGTCTAAGTTCTCAACTCCACGCAGATGAGGACCATTGTTTTTAAGAGCAGCGATGGGGTCTTGAAACTATGCATCTTTCATCTTTTCAGCCCGACAAAACTGTTCACCATCAGCCCACCTATTACCACAACATCTCATGAGTTGCCATGTATATGTGTGGACAGACACACGTATACATATTACATGCCTCATATTACTCGCATACTCATGCTGAACAATCGAATTATGGTACCGGCAAACATGGCAGCATTTGCTATTTGCTGGTGTGAGTCTGTTGAAGAGCAAGCTTTATTCGGCTGAATATCCTAGAAGCAAACGTTCTTTAACAGACTCCTCGGCAATCCGTGTGGCAAACCACAAGTTACACTGTATGCACCAAATACCAACATACACAGCCGTAAAAGCACTATGACCAACGTGCTCACAGTTCTAAAGCCCAATCCCAATCGCGTAATCCAAATCCACATGCTGCGAACCCAGCCAAACAACGCAGTAAAATATGACGGAACGAACGCAGCTGACATGGCCGCACTGGCCCGTACTGGACATGAGGAGGCGGTCGGGTCGGCGCACCGCCAGCATGGCACCTTCCGGAAGCAGCGGACGCGGAGACAGCGGCGTCGCCGGGGCTTGTGACGTCATGGACTCGGCGATCGCCCGGGCAGCGGCTAATCGGCGTCCAGCTCCCCCAGGTCGTACTCGTCCGGCTCCATGTTCTCGATCTGGAAGAGCGCGACGGTTTGTGGGCCGGGGTACCAGACGACAAGGCCACGCAGGGCGGAGACAGCGGCGCGCCAGCCCGTCCAGAGGGATGGATTCACGCGGGAACAGGGGCAGCGACGCGCCAGCCCGTCCAGAGGGATGGAGTTGCGCGGGGACAGGGGCAGCGATGCGCCAGCCCGTCCAGAGGGATGGAGTTGCGCGGCGACAGGGACAGCGACGTGCCAGCCCGTCCAGAGGGATGGAGTCAAGCGGGGACAGGGACGGTGACGTGCCAGCCCGTCCAGAGGGATGGAGTCGCGTGGGGACAGGGATAGCGATGCGCCGTCGATCCGCGACAGGCAATGTGACGTGCTCGTGACGTATAGGGGAGTCACGCCGGCGTGCCGGACTTGGCGGTGTCCCCAGCGGTGCGCCAGCGCAACATCAGACAGAACCACCGGCCGCCTCGGCCGCCATCAGTCACACAGCCCAGGCTGTTCGGAGTGAAGTACGGAACTGCTGCGGCCACTGTCAGCGTCTCATCCCGCACTGCCGCCAGCGGCGCACAGGCGTCACGGCCGGCGTCACGCGTCACGAGACCCCCCTGGGTCGGTGGCGGGACAGACGCTGCCCCGGCCAGCGGCAGTGGCAGGGCGCCGGCCCCAGCGCGCCCACTACCGACGAGGACCCCGCCTCGGCCGAGATCAGGCTCAGCTCCGTCCCTCAGATATAAACGCTTAGCTTGCTCTGACCGCCTGCTGACAGCAACTGGAACTCGAACTGGCCCTCTCCCAGCATCAGGCCCTATGCCTTATCCCATGCCTGGGTACCACCCTGGCAAGCAGTAGTGCTCTCGCTTCGTCATTTCCCCGCGCAATTGTTAGTTCAGGTCCCCAGTGCGCCCCGCACGGGTGCCGTGAAGGTGGCTCGCCCCAGCTATGTCAATGTAGCATGGCCACTCCACCTACCAGCCAGCCTCCACCTACCAGAGTCCTGCCAGCATGCAGGGATGTGTTACCCACTCAGACCCTGTCAAAACCATGCGGCTGAATTGCCCACGCTGGCCACGCATAATGCACGCACGGAGCGACCATGTCGACTAAACAAGTCCATATGCGGATGTCCCGTGACCACGCCGTAACCTCCACAGCCCAGTGTCCCACCTTCACTAAGCCGTTGGCCAGGGCGAAGGCGAGCATGGCACCGGCAGCCACCAGGCCAACCAACAGCTGGTTACGCCGCTTGTTGGGGAACTCTGTGTCGTGCTCGGCGGCCGGGTCGGCGGCGGCGCCGGGGGCCGGCCGACCGACGCCGCTGTGGCGCTGTTGCCGCTCGTACTCTGAAACGCCAGGTCAGGCTGAGGCGCCCGCCAGCACACTGTACGTGCTCACCACCCGGTCCCTTGCTTATTCCGTGAACCCGAACCGCACCAATCAACATGGCTTTGTGGTAGCGGCGGCAGATAAGAACGGCGTGTCCCGCTGGCCAGGGCCGGCGGTGTTTGGGCGTCGCTCGTGCGGTGGACAGGGAAGGGGGGGGGGGGCGGAGGTGCAGCTCGGTGAGCCGTGACGCACCGCTCCGTGGACTGACTGATGCCCGGGGACAGGCCTGACCTTTGGCCAGATCCGGCGGCGGCGGCGGCGACGGCCCGGTCCCGCCTGGCCAGCGCCCACCTGATCGGCCACCACTGCCACCAGCCCCCCATTCACGGCACGCCGCCACCCGGCACCGGCGGCCGACCTCATGGGGGGCAGCTGTGACGTCACAGCTGGTGCCGACCCCGCCACCAGCCCCACTCACAGCACGCCGCTACCCGGCAACGGCGGCCGACCTCACGGGGGGGGGCAGCTGTGACGTCACAGCCGGCACAGCCCTGCCACGGTCGCAGGCGGTCCCAACGGCGCAGCGGGGTCGGCTGACAAGCCGGAAGGCCACGGCCAGCGCCCGCCGCAACACACGGAGCCGACTTCCCATGACGTCGGTACATCCCAGGGTACGACCTCTCCTGTCCGTCACATCCAGCAGGGCGACAAAGGGCACAGCTCTGACACCCCTGAGTCATGAACATTCACATTGCTAGGGTAACGAACGTTCCCTTTGAACTTCGCGACAATATCAAAACAACTGTCGGTCACAGGCCAACGGCATGGCTGGGCTGCAGCAGCCAGGCCAAAACAAGCGGATCGTTGCCAACAATACTCTTTCTGAGCCCCTCCGCGTCAAGCGTACACACGGGGTTCGACGGGGTTAGAGACCGGAACTGTACATCAGCTCTTTACAAACTGGTTGCGCATGTGCCGGGGAATATGTACCGGGGAATGTACGTACGTACGTAACGTACCGGGAAATGAGTGACACCCTTCATGAGCTAATGCCAACGACCACATCCGCATCAGCTATGCATACGAAAGGCTCGCTGCAATCATCACATGGACTACAAAGCTCACACTGGCTGCTTATCACGCACAACTAGCACTATGGCCAGTAAGCCACATCAGCCACCCGCACGGCTCGACGCGACTAACACTACGGCCGTCAGCGAGAGCGCCCACCTGCATACTGTTCGGCGAAGAGCCGCTGTTGGACGCGTGTCACGAAGCTGACGAGGTTGGGGTGCGCCTTGAGCAGCGTCTGCAGGCGGTGACTGGGGAGCGGCGAGCGCAGCAGCGGCGCCAGGTAGCCGAAAACACGCGCGTCCAGCGAGCTCGGCGCGGCGCCCAGGAACCAGTCGCGCTCGCCCAGCTGCTCCGACAACGACGCGAAACACGCACCGGCACATCCGCGCACCAGCCGGTCAGCCGGCGCAGCCGGCACACCTGCGCACCAGCCGGTGACGATAGCTGACTGACCAGCAGAGCCACAGCGCCGGGTCCAGCCGATCCCGCAGCAAGTTGGTGAACGCCAGCGAGTCGGCGCACTGGCGAGCCGACAGCTCAAAGTCTAGGTTGAAGTTCTGCGGAGGAGACGGGGGAGCCGGTGCAGTGATGACCGTCGATGCATCCTCAGAGCATTTGAGGGGATGCGAGGGGCGTACGCAGCGATACACGGCCGTCGCTGGTCTGCTTGGTCTAGTGTCCTCCGGTGTCGTGTCAAGTTCAGGCGTTTTCGCAACCGCATCAAAAGACCGCATCGAAACTCTGCGAAATGCCCGCCTGTTTTACCTTCTTTTTCATGTGGACCATTATGTATTCAAAAGAGCAGAGCTTCACGTCGCCATCGTGCAGCACTGGGTAGTCACGGGTGGGAGACCTCAGAGGGTTGCTGGCCTCCGTCACCTGGACCTCTGTGCCGCATATCTTCAGGAATGTCTGATCATAAGCAGATGCATCACACGAGGTCAGCGTCAAAGGAAGAGAGGTCCAGAACACAGTGCATGTGTGGTTTTCATGGACGATTGCAGCCAGGTATGCAGTGTTTTATGGAATCTCTGGTGAATGGAGACAGCTCGGCAGCGTCCACATAAATAGTTAACATGGTATTCCTAAATGGTAATTACACCACAGACAATGATTGACAATGTACGCTTTTGACAATATGTTGTAATTAGCCCAGGCTAATGATGCTAAAAGGCACATCGCACTAACCAGTTATTGAGAGCTGTTCAATAATGCTATTACCATAGCCTCCACGCACTTGGAGTCAATGGATGGGAGACCCCAATCCCCAGCCCAAACCTTCAAATTCATTCCAGCCATGCTTCTGGATTTCTGAAGCAAACAGCATTTACTGAAAAAGAAGAAACCATGACATTCAGGGACCATAACATAAGGCATCGAACAAGCTTCAGTAGTATTAACCTTGTTTCTCGGAGAAAACCAGGAGAGTGGGGACGCAGTACGGTTGATATTTCCGCCACATGCCTTTACTGAAACAATAGGAGAAGTGAATGAAACAGCAAATGAAAAGAATGAAACCACAGTTGTTTTTTTTTGCGGGGCACCAACATTCAGGGGATTAAACAAAGAGCGGCTGCCATTCGTTACCACGATACAGTGCCTATCTAAGAGTGAGAATGCGCGAACATACGTGTACATGTAAACGAATTCAAGCAAATAGGCATCACGCATCGCGGTTCACTCAAATATGCAAGCGAATTGAAGTAAACGGGCATCACACATCGTGCATCAATTATACATGCAGGCGATTTCAATTGAACAGGTATCGCACATCACGCGTCAGGCATCGCTTACACATGTAAACGATTGAAAGCTAGCACATATCACACACAAAGGCACATATCACGTTCGCATAATCGGCCATGATGAGCCCTGTATGTTAAGATTTGGTCGCCGACTTTTTATACGAATAGATCCACTTATTTTCCTGTCTGGGTGGTCCTGTGCTCTGTGGATGACTTTAAGCTCTAAAGGGGCGCAGGGTCCATACATCCCTCGATTTCAGCCTGTGCGTATTTTGCCAAAAATCGGTTACCGAAAGGGTTATTCCCTGTTTGGTTTTTAGCGTGTTATGGGAGGTACGTATTCTACGTCGGGGAGTCCACGACCTGTTCGTTTGAGATGTAATGAAAACCCGCGACACGCGGTGAATTTATTTTCGCTCGGAAAGTCGATGCGGTAGATTCATCCTCAATTCACAAGGACCCTTCAGGTCACTTTCGGTTAAGCTATGGTCATGAAATTTACCAACATACTAGTTCGATCCAATAAAAACACAAAGTTTTGCGGACCGCCATCAGCGAGCCGATATGATGTCTTATTTCCGTTCATGCGTATGTAGGTTACTGTTAGAACGTAGTGCTGAACCTTAATTTGAGTTAGCGCGAAAAGAATACTGGTCAACGGATCTTCTCGTGGTAAAACATAGATAATGGGGAACGTTAAAAGGAGTCTGAACTTTTTAAAGTTTTGAAACAATTCAATTTTGGATCGAGCCTCAGCAAAAAAAAACTGACTTTTGCGTAGCGCTGTTGGAAAACGTTTTTTTCGTGTACCACATACGTAACAGAGCCTGGGGGCTTACAGCCGGCGCTCCGATATGCACATTATTGGTTGCAATGTACTCGGCCCAGTGTAACGTGAGTGGCGTTTCGTGTTGATATCATCATATTGGAGACGGGTGACCGGCCCCGGATAATAACAAGCGTCAGACATACACTGTGATCCAGTGTCGTGAGGCTGGAACCCCGCAGCGTGATACGGTTGGCTTATTTTGAACATAAGGAATCTCATGCGTCTCACATACGGGCGCAGACAGGGGAGGGGAAGCAGGCACAAGGAGCGCGTGACCCCTTCGTTCCCTCGGGCTCCAGAGGGTCCCTCGGCATTGACAATCAAAGGCGTGATTACAGGGCTCGAAGTGCTGAAGGGCTGGGCGGGGGTCTCCAGTCCGAAGGATCGGGGCCCTCTGATGTCAATCAGAGGGCCTCTGGCGGTGAAAGGGACCCCTATGGAAAAAGCCCCTCACTTCGGTCGAGATCACCAGCAATCGGCCCTTTGTCAGACTGAGGCCCATTCTCCAAGCATGGACGAGGTCTTGGCCCGCGAATGACATTGAGAAAACCTCGCAAGTCGCATTGGTCGGGGTTTCCTTGTCGAACAGGATGTCCTCTGACCACCAATTGGTGTCCATCACAGCCCACCACATGTCTTCGCCGTTGCTTCGGGATCTCTGAGAACGACAGAAGATTGTTGGCAGCGAAAGCGTGCATAGTGAGTAAATAAGGCAGTTGAAGGGCTCCGACTCTCACAGGAGGCCTCAGTAACGAACGAGAGCCCTCTACCCCGCCTCGACCAATGGCTCGTTAAGTGGAACTGGGTCTCCTGTGCAAATTATTGGAGTCTCTGTACCCGTAAGTGATCCTTTTGCGTCAGTGAAAGCCGCTGCGTCGATCCGGCTGCAGCTGCTCCGGTCAGAAGACTGCCCGCATCGGGGGGGGGGGGGGGGACCGATACACAATACGCTCCCTGATGGCCTACGAATGGAGCAAGGGGCCCAATCCCCATGTCGCGAGATGGCAGCTGGTGAATACCTTGGGCTGGGATGGAAAGGTTTTTTAGGAGTCACTGACCGGGAAAGATAATACCCCCCCCCCCCCCCCCCCGCCTCCTCTGATGTGCTACCATCCACTAGTGTAGGGTAGTGTGCTATGCAACAGTATATCTACCACCCTGGTGTACTACCCACGCCCTCCCTCGTCACGCATATCCAAGGGTCTCTTAAGTTTGTTAAATTCATTAATGTTCTCTAAAAGCGCGAACGCCGGCAGACCCGGATTATAAAGTGAAGAAAATTAGGTAAAATCCGAAAATGTTTTGAGGATTTTTGTCAGGAGCCTTTATTGCGCTATATGCTTCCTTTTCAACTTACCGAGACTCTTCTCTAAACCAGCACATTATTCTCCAGCGGTTCTGTTTCTCTCTCAGGGTCTTCCTCAAAACAGCCCCTCTTTATATTTCCACACAGCCCCAAGCTTAGTTGCGTTCTCTAAAATTTCCCGAAAACTCCACATCTGTTTACACTGAGTAGGTCTCGATGTCAGCTCCTTTCAGACACAACATAGATGCACATAAAAACACAATGTACCGTGCGTCGCGGCATTTATTAGTAATCATGGTTCACAATCAGTTCACGTGGAATGTTGCATAGCCCGTGCCGGCAACAAAGTATACTTAAATGACCGAATACAAGTTGCATCTCTGAGCAGACTATATACGGTCCACCACATTTTTCTGAACAGGAAACATGCCAACAAACGTGGCCTGGCGGAGGAGATCGCTATGCCATGCCAAAGCTCCCAGCATCGCACCTGAGAAAAATGGGCGGTTCCATAGCACAGCTGATGCTCTGTGACGGTTCTTGATGTACAACAATGGAGCCAGCGCCGTCACAATGACTTGGCTGCAGAGCATCAACGCTGGATACCCAGCGATTTGTCCCTGTAGTCGCTTTTCCGAAAGAGGCGGCACCTGCTACATTTCGTCCCTCTATGCCTGCGGGCTGCCCAAACCAAACTGAAATTTACAGGCACTAATAATTCTAAGATTTGTCAAGTAGTAATTTGACGGAATTTACGCAGCCTTTAATCGTGATACCCTGAAGGCGACGATGATGCGCCGACGACGGGGAAGCTACGTTGGAGCTGGTGACATGGTGCTGTGGCTGACAACACCGCGCCTGATCTGTAGGCACGACGACAGGGCCGGCCACGACGGAGCACGTGAACGGAGGAGCCCGTGCACCTGAAAAACATTCAAATGCATATGAAATTCTAAGAGTGAAAACGGGAAGCCCTAAAAGGACGGCACGCTCGGCAGACAAAACCACGGTAAACGTGAGTTCACTTTTAAATGAACTTGGGAAATTCCTTCCACTGTCTACACCATAAATCCTTTCACATCTTAATATGATTTCTAGGAGGATGGCCTAGTCCGTCCATGACTTACGATGGAAAAGACTTTGATAACCCACAATTTGTTCCCACTTTGCTGACCGTGAGATTATAGGGGTTAAATGAAATGCTGCAGCTTGCACCGACGTGACAAACACAAGATTCTCGACCATGGTCTGTGTAGCCCTCCAGCCAGGGCCGTTACACCACAAGAGACTACCCTACCTTAGATTACCACTTAGGTTACCATCAGACGTCACATGGGGCGAAATTCGTGTTGAGACCAAACGCTTTGGTATACCCATTTGAGATCCATAACGCGGAAAATGGAAGTAATAAATAAACAAAAACTAATCCTCTAAAACCATGACTTTTTACAACACGTCACCGGAGAAGCAGAGCAATTGCATCAGATGAACTGACCTAAACTGACATGACCTTAGCCTGAGCTGACGTGACCTTAGCCTGAACTGACATTGCTTCAAAATTGTTTTTATGGTGTGACCCCAACGGAGAAGGAAACGCTCATTCGTTTCACCCAGTTACACAGCTCTACGGCCGATATTGATGGTATACTTGCTTTGATATTGGTTTGAAAATAGTGGTTTCAAGTGCTCTGAGGTCACCGAAGACTTCGATGCTTTCCAGGGTAACCTGCACCGCCTGTAACATCGCCCAGGATGTCATATGCGTCACTCAATGCCTGAGTGAAGTTACCCGGGATAACCAATGTTTGAATTTTTATTGGCCCATTAGATCCTTAGATATCATAGGCACAACGTACTGTTGGCGCTGGAGCGTTACGGGCTGCGTATTTTGGAGATA